CTACTATTTCATCTGCTTTGTGTGTGTGTGAATCTGCTCTCTCTGTCTTTCCTTGTGTTTTTGTGTGGCCGACTCTTTTGTGTATACACGTGCTCTCTGCTCTCTTTCTTTTTTCTATTGCATTTTCATGTGTGTCTCTGCTCTCTGTGTTTCTCTTATGCTTGTGTGTCTCCACTGTGTGGATGAAAGGCTTGCTTTCTACATTTGCATGTGCGTCTCTTTTTTTCTGTCTTCTTCATTTTTAGCTAAAAGGGTGGTGCTCTTTCCCTATGTTTGTGTGAGCTCTCTCCCTCTTCTTTTTTGCATGTGGCTGGCTATGTGCTTACTCATATGGGTTCATCTGCGCTGGTAAAGAGCCTCTTAGGGTTGTGATGAAATGCTAAATTATCAGCATTTCATTCAACCCATTTACATATTTTTTTATTTTAATGCTTTTTAATAAAAAACAATAAGATTTAAGGAGAGAAATTTGAAGAAAGTTAACTCTTAAAAGTTGATTTCCAATATTTTTGATTAGTTGGAATAATTTGAGAGATATTTTTCAAGATTTAAGCAAGATATTTTTTTTATTTTTAAAATTGATTCTGAAGACCAATTAAATTTATTTATCTTCTTTATGTTATTATTATATATATATTTTGAAAATATAACCCTAGAAAGGATTAAATTTCACTTTTTGTATTTTTATATTTTTGGTTGTTTTAATGAACCAGAAAAAATAAAATTCTAATCAACAAAAGATAAAATTCAACCCTATTAATTAAAGATTTTTCATTATTAAAAGTTCATTTTTTGGTTGATTTTATTATTATTTTAAAAATGTAAAATATACCCAGACAAAATACAGTGTCACACTTATTGTCTCATAACTGTCTCTTCTCTTCGTCTCTCCTCCTTAAGTGTTTGAGTCTCCTCCCGTCTCTCACAGTCTTAGTCATCGCCGTAGTCTCCTCCCTCCTCTTGACTTCTCAATGCTGTAGTCTCCACCTCCTCTTGAATCAAATTCTTGAGCTCATTGGTGCCTCAGTTTTGCCTTGTCATTAGATTCTTGGCCTCGATCTAGTGTTTTGATTCTTGGCCTCTTGACTTGATTTCAACAGTGTCACCTCTGATTCTTTGCCTTTCGATCTCAAACAATGTCAAGGAGCTTTAGCCTCTAGATCTCAATAATGTGGCCTCTGATTCTCGAGTATTGACTTCTTTTTCTACTTCTAATTCTTGATTTTAGGTTTGCATCCTTTATCTTGATTAGCTTTTAGTAATCGGGCCTTGGTTAATGCTTTAATTATTCTTTGATCTTATGTTGTAATTCTTGGTTTCTGATCCTCTAGACTAATAGTGATTTAGTTTCACACCATAAGGCATTTGAATTTCATATCAATCACACGAACAGCATTAAACTGCTCAAGAAAAAATAAGGGTATACAAGTTAAAAAAGCACAATAGATTTATCAACAAAAAGATCTAGCCATTAGTATTTGAAAACTAGAACTTAAAAGTTATAGGTTCATACTGTCATCCATCTTAAATTTTATAGCATCTTCAGTAAATTTCTTCATCTTGGCATCAAGTTCAGTTGTTGCTTCCTCTTGTTTAGCAATAATCCTATCAATATCCTCATCAATAATTGTATTATCTAATTCTTTGTCATTGATTTCTTGATTGTATGCCTAGAGGGGTTATGTTATAATTCCTAGTTAATGTGTCATAACTTTGAACATGCTTGGGGGATTATGTTGTAATTCCTGGTTAATGCTTAGTCTTTGATTTCTTGATTATATACCTAGAGGGGTTATGTTGTAATTCCTAATTAATGCTCTGTCTTTGGTTTCTTGATTATATGATTCATGCTTATTTGCAGTATGTTATCATCTAATGCCAGAACTAATAAAACTAGCAAGAAGTTAGTTAATCAACTCCCACCTAATTGACTACATTTAATATAAAACCACCCAAGAAAGCTAAAAGTTATACCCTAGATGTTTGGAAGTCTTTTTCTAAGGTAAAGTGTAATGGCCGTGACACTTTGTTAGCATGTGGTATGTGTATAGGTATATAATTTATTATAGGTGATAATGAAAAAATTATAGAGATAGTTGACATCAAGCCTCTACCTCCATTTTCAATAAGTGAACTTACGTTTGAGGGTTCTAATATGTTATTCGTGGATGATGATGAGGGAGATTTTGATTAGGATTGATGATAATGTTTTCTTTCATCTTATTTGGACTTCCAAATCTTTTGTTAATTTTTTAAATTATGTGAGACTTTAGTTTGGTGTATGTTGAATTTTAAAATATTCTAAATAAATTATAATATTGAATTTTGTTTTATTTTTTTCATAATAGAGCTTATGGACTCGACCTTGAAAACTTTAAGTAAAAGTCGGGCCCTAACTTTGAGGTAAAATTGAGATAACCAGACTTTAAGGAGTAGGCTAATATATGGGCTTAGTCGCGCGTTTCTCAACTCTATTATTGAGCAAATTTTTTCTGATAGGCTTGTTCTACACTTTTATTCGTCTGTTCTGTCGGCACTAAAACCAAGTCCCATTGTACCAAACCACAAAAATAAAATAAAAAAAATAAAACCAGGTCCCATCCTTTTATTTTCCATTTTAAAGATATGGAAACGACACTTTGAAGATGAGCAAACGTCTGGAGAGAATTCCAAGTGTGTTTATGAGTGACGTTAAGGCGACTAAATTCCAAAACAAGAGTGGGGACAGAAGACGGGGATAACCCCTAAATGGGCAGAGACACAACATATACATAACGTTGAACGAAGGAACAAGTGGAGAGGCCAGCTCTTCGTGCAAGCTAGCTAGCTTCTAGTACTTCATGTGAGCCCTGCTTGCAGGGATCAGGTTGGACGAAGAGGCTCTACTTTATTACCTCCTCACCAGCCAACGAGCGACGTTACGATTCTTTATCCACACGTACATGTCATGGTGTACATCTCCATTATGAAGCATTCCCTCATAATTTGATCCCTCCATGACCATTAAGTGGGTAATTTGGACACCTTCATTCAATCCAAGTGACCATCCATTATAACACAGCCTCTAATTTGCGCCTTGGCCTTGACACACTAACCAACCCCGTTAATCATTCCTTTTTTATCACATCAAAACTAAGACTACACTTTCCTAACTAACCTAGTTAGTATAATTACATGCAATAGCTGGGACCAGTGAGTGAGGGGCCTCTATTTTATGACGTGCAGCAAATAATGCCCGGACCTTCTACGTGTTGCACTGGGGATAGCATCATTTTCACAGCCTCTGCCACGCAAAGCATCTCACGTCCAGTCCTCAAAACATGCCAAACACAGAAAAAAGTTAGGGCCGTCTTCTCCACATTGCTTTATCATATCTATTTTTTTTCCGGAACATATTCTATATATGCACACCTCGATCTTTTTCTTTCTATTAATGGTTCGTATCAAAGCTGATCCCACGCTGTATGAATTGCCTCTTTCTGCATTATTTGGAGGACGAGCCACGTTTCTCTACGTCATATAGAATGCCAAACTCCGGTGAACGTTATGTCACGTTCTGATTGGGATCCTCTGGTCTTATTTGATTGGGATCCTCTAGTCTCATTCTAGTTTTAATTTACACTTATCTGCAGATTATCTTTAGCGTGCGAAACAGAGGGCTAACAAAATGTGAGGATATGAATGGAACCCGTGGACACCGGTCATGGATATATCAATGCATCATCAATTGAAAATCAGCATTAGAAATTTTTTGCTAGGTCTGAGTAAAAAGCTAGAAGTGCTGGTCGGGCCCATGAAAAAATTACCAGAGCTGCTGAAGTTTGTTCTCCTGGTTCGCATTAATAATCTTGATGTTAAATTCAGTTTATCACTTCCCATCAACAAAACGGCAATTAAAATGATAACAAATGGATCGTTTGATGCGCTTTAGGATATATTTACATTGTTTAATTTAATACAAACACTATAATATTTATGCTTTTTTGTTAAATTTTAATGATATATGTACTTTAATAAAAGTACAATATAGAATAAAAGATTCTTTCAATTTTTACGAGGTAATTCTTTTTTCTCGGTTGAAAAATAAAAAATATATTTAATGAGTTAAAAACATATTAAAAAAATAAATTATATAGATTGAATTAAAATAATTTAAGTGTACTGTACTCCATTCAAAATGGCACCGTAGGCAAGCCATATATTCCAATCCAATAACATTGCAGGGAAAAAGACCGAAATGATTGCGATGCACCATTCAGATTTTTCGATTGACATTCACATTTACTGTGACGAAGCAGACCATTCCAATCATGGGCAGTTTGTTTTAACTTATTCAGTAAAGAAATCATTTCCTTTAAATTTATTTTATAAGTTTTTATGATATTTATTTAAATTTTTAAAAGTAATTAAAATAAAAAAAGCACATTCCTGACTTCATTAAAAAGCTAGATTGTGTAGATTTTAAAAATAATTTAATATGATAGATAAAAAAATATTTTAAAAAAATAGATGTGTGTAGATATCATAAAATTTAAAAATAATGTAATAATAAATTATTTTATAAAATAAAAATAAAAAAGATATCATGAAATTTAAAAATAATTAACTAATAATTAATTTTTTATTATTATAATCAAATATAAAATAATATCTTTTTTTATAAAATAAATTTCTTTGTGTAAAATCTTTAAATTATCTAAAAAGCACTTATTCTTTGATCTTAAACAAACGAGTCAGAAATAGTACTACAAATTAATAGCTGATGTCATTAATAGTAAGTTAGTAACGTCTTAACTTATTAATCAATGTAATAACCTGCCGAGTGTAATAAACAGAAGTGAATCTTATTAATTCTAATGCGCTGAACGGCCTTTGAAAAAAATAATTTATATTATTAATAATTATTAATGTATAACGTATATTATTATTTATGAATATTGCGATTCACTTTCGGGTCTATCAATCGATTCACAGAAACAACATTTTTTAATTACATCAATACATTTGATTTTTTTGACATTTTCTTTTTCACACTTCCACAGCTTTATTTCTTAAAAATAATACATACAAATCTTACATAAAAAAATTAATTACAATAAAATTTATTGATAACTGAATAATTAAGATAAATTATAAATATTTTAATTTAATTATTAATAAATTTTATAATAATTAATTTATTTGTGTGAGAATAATATAATTCTCCTTCATTTCTTCTTACATCATTCCAAATGAAACATAACCGGGTCCAAATTTTCTCGTGCTTTGTGGGGAGGGCCTTGACCTTGAGGCTTGCACATCCTTAATACATCAACGTTGTTGTGGAGTGGGGGACCCATCTTGAGTCTGAGTCACCCCTACGAAGCAAAATAGAAGCTTTCTGAAAGACATGAGAGAAATAAAACAAAGCCAAATCAAAGAGAGAATAACAACAATAATAGTGTAAGAACTTTCAAGCGCTAAATGAAGCGCCCCCAATTTCACTCTAATTCTGGTCTCAGCCCCAACACTCCGGTGTTAGCCTGTGATCTCTTTTGGGGTCATTGCAATAATTATAAACCATACGGTATCTTTGAACCCATCTCATGGCCCTGTATTGCTGGCCGCTCAACCCACCGGACCTGTACGGCGAAACCGAGACCGGGCGGCACCAAATCGGCCCATAGGCTGAGCAACCGCTGGCCTTAAAGTTGCTGTACTTGGCCACGAATGGCTGGTATCTGTAATCTGCTTTGTACTTTCCATCTTCGGTTGCCCATGATGATGCGTCCCAGATCGAACCATACACCCACATTGGCCTCACCGGATATGTGGCATCGCTCTTCTTCTGGTACCTCCTTATCGGCACATCATCCACTAGGAATCTGACATTATTATTATATTATCATTCAATCTCTGTTATATATATAATCACTCGTTGTATTCATTTTTGTATTATATCGCGGTGAGGGGAGTCGAGTGATGATGACTTACATTATTTCCTTAGGACTCCAGAGTATAGCGTAGTTATGAAAATCTTTGGTGGGATCAAACCAGAGATGGAACTTCATTTCCCTGCCTATGATTTTGCCATCACCACTCCCTCTTATGTACACATTCGTCTGCAGAGTATAAGGCTTCCCAAATGTTGTCCCGAGAAACTCTATGTCTACTTCATCGTGGAAGCCAGGATGTGCTTCGTTGTTCGAAAGCTGCCATAGATAGAGATATATATATATATATATATATCAAATAAACCCTTACTATAACGAATCAATTAATTAACACAGCAAACAACAATCAGATCATTTGGCCATATCTTACGTAGAAAGCCGTGATGACTCCTGCAGTATAGCCCGGTTGGAGTTTAATAGAAGCACCGAAGTATCCGGACCGGAAGGGACGAACTGACTTAAACCCACTTCCTGTTTACCCGGGAAAGAAATGAATTAAGCAGTGGAAGTATATATGCATATATATACGTGTTTTATCTTACAGGAAGACTGATAGGAGAGACTGGAAAATGAAAATGATCAGACCTGAGGTTCTGTCGAGCCAAATTGTTAATGTGTTTTGGTCTAGTCTCTGGTGCTGAGGACCCCAGAGGTTTCTAAATCCTTCGTAGAAGCTCATGGACCTGAATCTAGAGCTTGGCCAGTAGCCCGGTGAAGGTGGCCACGAGGCATGGCCTGAAGGGACCATCACTATTAATATTGCCAGGAGAAAGAGAGCCATCGAGATAGAAGATAAGGGCGAGTAATATAAAGTGTTAAGGGAAAGCAGAATGATTCTGGTGTGCATATATAATGCAGAGTGTGACAGCGAAAGCGAGGGAGAGACTGCTCGAAGAAGATGCCTAATGGAAAAGACTGTGACAGTACATTTTGATATAGTAAATAACCAAAACAGTGGGTCCTCCCTCAATGAATTCTGCGGTGAAATTCAGAAGGGATTAGACGTTGGAGAATCTAATTAACACACCATTAATTAATTGTGGGTAGTTATTATAGACAAAAAGGAGAGGCTTTAATGGCTAAACAACATCCATTCATTTATCTGTGCTTCTTTCTTTTCCCGTTCCATCTGCTTTCTTTCTCACTCTTTTGTGACAAAACCTGTTTGCTTAGTTGGAAAACATTGAAAAAGATGATAGGATGCAGAGGGGGTAGATGGGCATATCTTAAATGGGCTTCTCTGTATGTTGTATTAGGGTTCGGGCATGGCTTTCTAATTCCCACTATAACTTAATAGTCCTGTACTGGCTATAGTTCTTCATCATATAGAATGAAACCCACTTCTCTATGCTTTTGACCATACTCTCTTCCTGTATTGGTGTCATCAGTTACCATCCGGTGAATTTAAATGTGAGGACCAAAATGAACGAACAATTATTTTTCCTTTTTAAATATGGGAGGTTCAAATTCTGAGACGGCCAATTCTCATGAGCCAAAGCGAGTATTTGAATCTGTGAAGTTCATGAATGGAGTGGGTCAGGATCTATCTATAATGGACCCTCAGAACTTGATTTGATAACCAGGAGACAAGCGAGGTCATTGATGGACACGTAGAATTACCCTTTGTACGAGTCATGGATAATCTCAAGATGTTGATTCATCGACGAAAAGAGTCCATATAGATTGCAGCCAATCACACTAGACATCAAAAAGCTTCCATTGTCGGCTTAAATGTCTGATCATGAATATAGCAGTAGACAGGATGTTAATTACAGATTACTGCTCCAATTAAAACCCAGCTACCATATTTGGCTTCCACAAGTAAACAATTAATCTGTCGTAATAAAATGGGTATAACTCCAAAGACGCAAATGGTGTCAGGTTCTATGAATGTATCAACCTAAATTTGCATCAGTACTCCGAGCTTCTCCAATAATCCAAGATGCAATTCAGTTTTAAGAGCGAGAGAGGAGGCCAGTGGCGACTACATCATTGAGAATACTTGACGAGTTGGACCACTGTCCCACGAATCTGACATTTATTGCGTTTATAAGTTTTAGGTGTAAAAGTACATGAGCTGAAGGCATGGCTCCCCAAGACCAAACTCACAGAATCTCAAGACATAGATGGTTTTATTGAGCTATTACTAACCTTGCCGCTCGGCAATACGTAGAGAAGTAATGAACCTAAAGAAACACACATTGTCTAGCTAGCCAAACGCATAAATATATAGAGAGTCTATAATAATGCGAGAAAATTATCATTTATATCACAACTTGCTGGAGCTTCTTTTATTGACCTATATGTATAGACAAAATCTCAAGATTTTGAATGTGCATTATTTTGTCGGTCACAGATATAGGGAGAGAGATTGAAAAAGAAGTGAAGGCATGGTGGGGATTGAAGTGGGACCACCTTGGCCGACAGATCATAAACCTAACACAAGAGCCTTCAAGGCGGTTGCTCTGCTATACATCAGACGGCTGTCATTTTTTGCTTCTGTGGGGGGTGGGAGAGAAGTTTCTGTAGAATTACCCCTATTAGATTCCTCTGCTCCATTTATTGTTACTTTTAATTGCGCTGCTCCATTGTCACAGGCTTTGCTTTTGGACACCATTTGTCAACACCCAAAAAGCTAGCAAGAAAAACTCGACCTCGTCGATCGTTTAATTCATTTCGCCCATTTTTGTTCTCTTCATATGAAAACGACGTAACCTGGTGCGTTTTCTGTTTAATTAAAATCAAATTTATATATATTAGACTATTTGAATATATATATATATATATATATGAGCCATATCCTCATAAATTGAGCATGGTTAACTGGTAAGTACTGCTTTGAATGCATGCATGTGCATGTTTTGGGTGTCGTAAAACAGAGACGAACTCTGTTTTTCTTTCTTATCGAAAGTCTTGTTTGTCACTTTAAGTGTCACGTGATGAGATTGTATCATGTCTCCTCGATAGTTAATGATAAGACACATTGTTACCAGTGAATTGGATATAACGTTTTAGGGGATAAATTATGTACTGTTAAGTCATAACATTTATTACGTTATTTATTATGTTAATATTGTAATTATCTTAGTTGGGTATAGATTATTGTTTAGGGCTACATGTCCTATTCTTAGTGTACTTATATGTGCCACTCATTCATTTGAGACTCTGTAATCGTTTCTGTTATTTATTCAATACAGTGAAGCCTGGCAAAGCATTGAGTGCTCCTTGTATTTTACTCATAACTTTCTCTTTCTATCTTGGTATCAGAGCATCAGGCATGGCTTCTTCTACTGTAGCACTCATCTCATCCACTGCACCACCCACCATTATCGTCCAAGCTGCAAAAACCAATTCGCTATTCAGTTCATCACACTCCTCCACCTCTATCAAGCTGGATAGAGGCAATTTTCTTCTTTGGGAATCTGTTATTTTGCCTCTAATGGAGGGAAACAAACTTGAGCTGCACATTAATGGTCTAGGTCAAATACCGTCACGTATGGTGGTCGATGGTGCGACTACTAAGATGAATCTTGAATATGAAGAATGGATCTCTATTGATCAACTTTTGGTTAGCTGGCTAAGAAACACAATGTTTGCTGATGTCTGTGCACAGCTTTTTCACTGTCACACAGCTCTTGAATTATGGAATGGTGCTCGTGCCTTAGCTGGTGCGTCGACGAAGGCTTGTGTTATGGTATACAAGACTGAGCTTCATCGAACTCGGAAAAATGGTTCTAAAATGGAAGATTATCTTTTAAAGATGAAGAATATAGCTGATCAATTGGCTCTAGTTGGATCTCCTGTTGCAACTAAATATCTCATTATACACACCTTAAATGGTTTAGATGCAGATTATAATCCGATTGTGATGAAACTTATTGATTCACCAAACTTGTCTTGGATTGATGCTCAAGCTTCACTTTTGGCTTATGAAAGTCAAACGGATCAGTTAAATCAGTTTTCTTCTTTATCCATACAACCCTCGGCCAATTTTTCTTAATGAGGTCGTGATGATAATCGTGGATTATGGCATGGATCTCGTGGCTTGCGTGGTTGTTCAAGAGGTTGGTCGCGAGGTAGTGCTAGTCGTCCTTATTGTTACTTATGCTATCATCCTGGACATGTGGTTTCCAATTGCTATCATCGCTTTGATAGAGATTTTCAGCCTCCAGGTTCTAGTTCAAATCGTCGTGCAATGTCCTTTCCTCCGCAGGCTTACTATGCTTCTCCATCTACTGTCAATGACTCTGCCTGGTATCTTGATAGTGGAGCTAATTATCATGCGACCCCTGATCCCACTCAACTTAATCAGATTACTCTATTGGTAAGTCTCATATCTCAACCTGTACTGGTGCTCAAACTCCCATATCTGGTTATGGTATCAAGATTCTTTCATTTTCTCCTACTCCTGTTGCTCTTAATGATGTTCTGCTTGTTCCATCAGCTACTAAAAACTTAGTAAGCATCTCTCGTTTGGTTTCTGATAATGAAGTGTCTATTAAATTTTCTGATCATGGTTGTGTTGTGAAGGACAAACTAACAAAAAGGGTACTGATGCACGAACCTCCACGACAGGACATGTATCCAATAATTAATGTTGCTTCTCTTCAGACTGAAGCTGCTACTGTTACAATTCTAGAAGTGATGTTTACCTCTTATTTAGACTGGCATTACAAGTTGGGTCATCCTAATGATTGAATTTTGAAACAAATTTTGAATAAATGTAATGCTTCTATGAGTATCAATGACAAATCTATATGTGAAGCATGTCAATATGGCAAATCTAAATTTCTTCCATATGCTAGTTCTGCTTCTCGAGCATCTTGTCCATTAGAATTAGTTCACACTGATTTATGGGGTCCTTCGCCAGTTTAATCAATACACGGTCATCGTTACTATATTCATTTTGTTAATGATTTTAGTCGATTCACCTGGTTCTATCCACTAAAACATAAGGGTGAAGCAATTAACGCCTTTAATCTTTTTTGACCTTTAGTTGAAAATCAATTCAATGCAAAAATCAAGAGTTTACAGTGTGATGGTGGCTCAGAATACAAACCATTCATTCCTATAGCTTAAGAACATGGCATTAACTTGAGGTTCACGTGTCCTTATTTTTTGCCTCAAAATGGGCGAGCCGAACGTAAACATAGGCATATAGTTGAAATGGGATTAACTCTTTTAGCTCAGGCACACATGCCTCTTACTTATTGGGTTGAAGCTTTTCAAACGTCAGTATATCTTATTAACAGACTTCCCACATCTATTCTTGATGGTGCAACTCCCCTGTTTTGCTTACTAAAAACAGAGCCTGAATATAAAACTTTGCAACCATTTGGGTGTGCTTGCTATCCTTGTCTAAAACCATATAATGCACACAAATTTCAGTTTTATAGCCAAAAGTGCGTCTTCTTAGGATATGCATCTCAGCAAAAAGGTTACAAATGTCTAAGCTCAACAGGACGTATATATGTATCTTGTCATGTGGTGTTTGACCCATCTACTTTTCCTTTTGTCTCAGGTTTTATTAATAGACGCTCTAGTTTTACAGATGATTCATCGGTTCCTTTAATTATCACTCCTTCAAAGAGTACCAGTAAACAAACCCAATTATCTTCTTCAGAGTTGTCTTCGAATAGTGCCGTGATAGGTCCAGTTGCTAGGTTAACACCTACTGGTTCCTCACTTGTCACTAGCCTAAATGAAGAAGTCCTTACTTCATCTATCAGCATCAATTCAATACATTCTATGAGCCCAGCCAATGAAGCCCAAGAAGCCCAACAAAACTCTCATTCTATGGTGACTCGTTCTAAAAG